AGAACCGAAAAAAAGCACAAAACACATTTATGATTCTTGCAAAGATGGGTCAGAAAAAGATTGAGGAAAATTATAGAGCTTAATAAAATTCACTGTAAATGTGTGTGTGTGTGTGTGTGTGTGTGTGTGTGTGAACAACAAAATAAAATTAGTAAATTACCTGATATATATTATTGTTTTTTATTTATATTTATTCATAGAGATAAGTACATAATAAACTTTTACAGGTTCAACACGCAAGCGATGATGTTTTTAGAGTAAAGAATGGTCCAGGAATATTTATTATGGATTTGAAATAAAGGATATCTTCATGTGACAGATTCTAAATGAATATGTCTTATATAGTGTAATTTCCTCTTAAGGATACTATCAAACCCAATAACTTAATGCAACCAAACTGGCCCTAATTAACTTACAAACTAGACCTAACAAGCTCATTTTAGTGTTCTGACTTAAAAAAACTCTAATTAAAAGAGATGAAAAACAAATAATCCAACTCTATTATTTTTCAACTTAATCGAAAAAGATGTCTGGGAATTACATTTAACATCTTTATCTCGTGCATTACAGGCTGCGTGCTAGTAAGAATCGTAAGCTGTAAATCAAACCATCATGACTGTCAGTTGTTCTAATAACAATCTTTGTGTAATTTCACAAAGGAAACTGTTTGCTTCATGACTAACGAACTCCACTCTACCTTCATAATATACCTCTGTACACCAACTAAATTAGAGCCACAAAATCCCAAATCTGTCACCTAACTGATTAGCAAACTATTTGCTATTTCTTCAAGTGCATTAATCACACAAAATCTAGGCAATCATAACCCGGTCGTCATTGCCCCATCAATTGCGACTTCATGTTTCTTTCAGTTCCCAGAAATTATCGTAAACGAGAGAAGAACCGTCAAGGTCTAATGTAGTTACAAAATAAGAAACCCCTGATAAACTTTCGTAATCGTATTACCGGCCCAAGGTTCATACTTTTCCAATAAACACCCACCCATAGAGGGTGCAACCAGTAAAAAATAGGAACAAATACCAAGTGGGGACGTGTATAATTTCCAGAGTTAAGCAGCCTTTTTTTGCAATTAACCAAACTCTGGACGCATGCTTCATAATATTCCCGACAATCAAGAAATAGGTATACTCGGAATAACCAGCTCATGAGCCCTCATGGAAACTCAGGGACCGCGACAAAGCTGCAGGATTGGACTGTAAAACCGTCGAGCTTTTTGCATGAGCCCGACTCATTTGATCACTGTCCTCAGTTTTTTTCCGCAAAGCCATGAAAAGACCATCACCACCACTTACGCCCACATCACCACATTCATCATCTCTGTTTTTATTTATACCTAAAGTCGACCATATGGAGCTTCTGGAAGCTTCTTCCGGATCATCAATTCTCAAAGTCTTCGGGACCCACAAACATTTCTCTGGATCATTCTCCTTCTGTTTTTCTTCTTCATTTTCTGAATTGGATGGAATACTCTCGTCCCTCGAGTGCTTTCCGAGTGTTGGAGAAATGGGGCCGGAACTTGGAGCTGGTGTGGGAGAGATAACGTAGGGGACGCTCCATAAAGGGGCACCGGGCCAATAAGGCTGTGCTGTGGAGCAGAACTGCATGGGAAAGCTGGTTGGGCAAATATTAGGCGGAGCCATTGGTGGGCTCCATTGAACAGAGTGCCATGGGTAAGGCCAAGCGACCCCATGAAAAACAGGTACCTGCAGAAGTTATTTCCAATGGGATCAATAAAATAATAAAATAATTATGTATAAGATATGCGCGTATAAATTTGAATTGTTTAAAACTTAGTTATTAACTTTATAAACAAAATATACATGAAAGGGAACACATATCTAATCAAGTCTTGTTATTTCTTTATAAAGGAGGATCATACGACAGATGGAGCTTTATATATATTTTAGTTAATTACCAAATATTTTAAAAGAAACTAAAACGTAAGTGGGGCCATAATTTGGCATCTGTCAACCAGTTTTTTACCCACCTCATCCTTCGAACTCAAAATGGGAGGATCGCTCGAGCGTTCATACCCGTTATTCTCCTTTCTCCTGATCGTTTTATCGCCAATATCCAAAACCGACACCATCGATTCACACAGAGGCACAGGAGTATCTGAACCAAAGGCAAGGAAACTTGTCCCATTGGGATTCGGCCGGGCGGATTCTGGATTAGGTATAGGATGAAATTGAGAGGCAGCTTGGTTCCTGTTCTTACGGCGCCCAGCTCCCACACGAACATTTCTCATGGCCCCGCCAGCTGTCCAGTACCTCTGGCAGTTCTTGCAGAAGTGTCTCGGCTGGTTGACGTTGTAGTTGTTAAAATAACAGAATTTTGTGTCTGTGCTGTTGCAACGGGGGCATGGGAGCATTTTGTCAGGCTTCTTTAGAGTTTTTTCATTGGAGTTGTTTGCCTCTGTCGGGTCCTCTTTTGAGTTGTCGGCTACATGTATATGGGCATTAGTGTCATCTGATTCGTTTGAGGTTGACGGATGGCCTTGGTTTTCCAAGTTTGGGTTGTCATGTCCTGGGCCTGGTTGCCTCTACAGGATAATTTAGTCGTGAGAATCACCAAAAAATAATAATAATAATAATAATAATAAAAAATGAAAAAGGAGAGAATTTGAAACTTGTCATATAACTGGAAATTATGCAGATTTTACTTAGTGTGACCGCAATTTCAAAATTAAAATGATCAGGTAAATATAGTTTGAGGATTATTTGCAAAATCTACCGCTGCGGTTTTAGCCTAATTACGCACATACACACACTAAAAGAAAATGAAAGAAAGAAAGACAGAAAGAATGAAAAGAAGATAGGAACAAAGCTGTCTTCCTTTTTGAACAAATTGTACTCATAAAGAGTCGAAGTAGGTTAACTTGACAATCAGTAAAATGATTAAGGGTTAAAAGTGTTGTTGAAACAGCTTTATATTTGTATATTGTGTGTTTACTATAAGATTAAAAGTTGACCGGTATTGTTACAAACTTACCAGAGAGATGAAGATGAAAAGCAATAAAAATTAGATGATACATAAATGAGAAAACTGAAACTGAAGCTAAAAGTCCCCATCAAACAATATTAATTAAAGTAACACATATCACTCACAGAAACTGAATCTTTGATTTTTAGTACAAAATTTAATCTAAGGAGAAAAGGTCAATACATTTTTTTTTTTTTCAACAATGATCAACCAAGACTATCTTCACATCTCCTCCCACAAATAAATCCTATAAACAAGTGTTCAGCACAATAATCCATCCTTATGCTTGATGCGTTGTTTTTTTTTTTTTTTTTTGCGAAAGAAATCGAAGCATATTAGCAAATGGAACCAAAATATATTGGCATGGAGAAAGAAAGGTCTACCAAATAACAACAACTCGGAAATTCAAAACTCATCGAGCACTCATTTGCTCCATCCTGGAAAACGAAAAGCAGTGCAAAATGCCGTTCAAATCAGTTCAGTAATCGGAGCACTCTATGCATAGATTAATCCTTTGTGAGACACAAAACACAACCATAATTCCTGAATCAATAACACTGAAAAAATCAAATCCCAATGGTTGTAAGAAATCATATCATCCATTTCAATCCAAAACAAAAACATAGAACCCTAAATTAAACGAAAACGGCAGTATCTCCCAACGTGTGAAAATTCCAAAATCTAAAATCATTTGCGCAACCGAATCTCATACCTCTTGCGATTCGTGGTCCTCTGCATCTCCATTAAAATCACTAGGTTCAAGCACAGAACAAGCAAGCTTTTGGTCTACGCTGGTAACGCTGTCTTCTGTATCGGCGTCACAAGAATCAGCAGCGCTTTCACCAATTCCGGCCGCCTCAACAAACTCCTCCGGCAGCCCAATGGTTTTACCAAAAAGCTTTATTTTGGAGTCTTTCAATTCCGACATTTTTGCCTTTCTTTTTTCCCAGCACTCTCCCTACATAATATATATAAATTTTCAAGAGAGCAGACGATGCAAATAAACAAAGAAGACCTGAAACAGCAAATAAAAGGCTCTCAACCGAGTTGGACTAAATTTGGATTAAATTAAGAAGGTAAGGGGGTGATTGTTTATGAATTCATGTAGTTTTTTATTTAGTTTGTTTTTTTAATTATAGTTAGTTTTAAAAAAAGAGGAAATAGCTATTTTCACCCCGTTCTGAAGTCACACTAAGTTTTTCAC